GAGACAGAGTCTTATTTTGTCACCCTTGGTAGAGTGCCCTGAAGTCACAGCTCACAGCAACCTCCAGCTCTTGGGCTTAGGCAATTCTCTTGCTTCAGCCTCCCGAGTAGCTGGGACTACAGGCACCTGGCCCAATGCCTGGCTATTTTTTGTTGCAGTTTGGCCGGGGCCAGGTTCAAACCTGCCACCCTCAGTATATGGGGCCAGCATTCTACTCACTGAGCCACAGGCGCTGCCCACGAGTAAGAGTTTTCAAAGGTAATTTTGACCATACACCATGCTCATTTAATGTTCTAACTATGATGGATATTGTGAAAGAAATCTAGATTTCCTGTTAGTTTTAGGCTCTCAACATATGACTCTTAGTGGTGGATCACTCGGCTCGTGCTTCGATGAAGCAGCTAGCTGAGAGAATTAATGTGAATTGCAGGACAAAAAACAAACAAACAAAAATTTTAGGCCCTCAAATCAAACGTCACACAACTGTCAGGGAGACACTCTGTGTAAACAAAAACCACCAGCATCAGCATCTCCCGGGCACACATTAGAAATGCAGAATCCCAGCCCTGCTGTGAGCTGTGACACCACAGCACTCTACCAAGAGCGACATAGTGAGACTCTGTTTCAAAAAATAAAAAAAACAAAACAGTAATGCAGAATCCCCCAGGCTCGGCGCCTATAGCTCAAGTGGCTAAGGCATCAGCCACATACACCAGAGCTGACAGGTTCGAATCCAGCCTAGGCTTGCCAAACAATGACAATTACAATCAAAAAATAGCCGGGCTTTGTGGCAGACGCCTGTAGTCCCATCTACTTGGGAGGCTGAGGCAGGAGACTCGCTTGAGCCCAGGAGTTGGAGGTTGCTGTGAGCTGTGGTGCCACGGCACTCTGCCCAAGGGAATAGCTTGAGGCTCTGTCTCAAAAAAAAAAAAGAGAGAGAATGAGAGAGAATGAATCATTTAATTAATGAAGATGATTTGCCTACCTGTCACACAAGGAGTTTGAACACAAGCAATTTGTGTTCTGAATCAGGATGAATTGAGGGAGTCTCTTAGTCCATGCGAGATGAAAACATGCCCTATTCATACACCATGGCTGCTAAATGCACATCAGCTATTCCAGCTGGCGTTTACCTG